TGGTATAAATTGACTTGAAACAATTTATGAATTGTGCTGTGAGAACAGAGTGAATCCGATGAAAACAATTGGAAATTTATAAGTTATGTCTTGGAAACATTACATGCTACACACATAGGATTGAGAGTGCTATTCTCGCTTTTTATTCAGCTCTGAGTTGATCGGTTCATATCAAGATTTACACTGACCATTGCTATAAGCACCAGTGATGTAGTGTTTGAATTGCAGAATATTGCCATAAACAAATGTTTATTTACATTATAAGTTACAACTGTACAAATGATTTCATTATGGGTAATGAATGAAGTTGTAGTTAACAAATTTGTTTTTAATTTTATGAGAAGCTGAGGTTGACACCGGCTTGACTGGCTAATTCAATGACAGTGTCAAAGAATTCATCTCTTTTTGTGATGCCAACGAATTGTAACGGCTTCCTCTTGGATTCCAATCGCACTTCAATAGCTCGTCCAGGCCATGGTGTCATACAGTGTACCTGAAATCAGATTTTAGTTGCCTCATATCCACTGCAGTTTCGCATTCGTTGCAACCATCAAAATTTAACACGACCCGAATCAAACCAAATCTCATCACCAAAACACATTTTGTTCATCGCTAAGTCGGCAATGATGTCGTTTTTCTCATACAACAACGTACACTCGCGACTGCATGCACACCAAACTTGTGATTTGCATAAAGCTGAAGGAATGTTTCACAATCGCTGTGCAGTGTCATATAGAGCTGGTGAACAACTGAACGCATGTAACGCGAAGCAATCAATTGGCCAAAAAAAACCTTTGTGATTTTCTGCACTTCATCATATGGCATGCAAATAATCTCGTTCGCGTTCCCGTTCAGAATATGACCGCTAGAACTGCATAGACTGTGTTTGAATAGCATTTCTCTGAAAATTGGGATCGATGAATATTATGAACACTCTATTATCAGTACTACTCGACAACTGTGACGTGAACTGATAGGTATTTGCACAATGCACGTCGTATGTATCAGCTTATAACAGCTCCAGAAAGTGCCTTTCATTAGGTGTAAGCATTCGTTTCTAAAGATTGCGCTTACAAAGAGTAATTCAGATGTAATGAGTTTGAATGGAAGAAAAATGCGCTATACTTCATGTAAAGCAACAATTGCGTAGGTGAATTTCATAGCCGCAACGTGATTATTGTATTAATGTAGCTGGCAAACAATAGT